GCTGTCTTTCTCTCTGTCTCCCTCTCTTTCTCTCTGTCTGACTTTCATTCCTTTTACTTATTTCCTCTTGCTCTAGCCTCTCTCACTCTTAAGCTTCTGAATCTGTCAAGGCCTCCAGAGGCTTAATCAGTGTCAGAACGGCCTTCACCAGAGCCTCCAGCTGTGGACATATTAGTTTACACATGTGTGTGTGTGTGTGTGTGTGTGTGTGTTTGTGTGTGTCTGTCTTTTATTTCCCTGCAGAGGAAATTGTTCAAACTACTGGACACAGAATTAGACTGTCTAAGAGGGTGCTGAGGGGAGGCATAGGGGCAGAACATAACCAGAGGGCGCGCACGCACACCATATGCACACACATAATGCAACTCAGCTGCATGAATAAAATTCTGATCCTTTGCCAAAGTTTGTCCTTGGTAAAACAACCATCTACCAGCGTTGTTGAAAATTATGCATAAAATGCACAGAATGTTCATGCATAATCTTAATGTGAGGACTGGTGAGATTGAAACGTGAACGCGGCTATATGAAATGTTTAGTGAGCGCAGGGCACCCTTCAGTGGACGACAGAGAAACTACACTCCCTTGTCGGATTAAAAATGATTCCTGTGTTTCTTTGTAGCTTCATATAAATTACTTTCCTGCACCGCGTGAATCTACAGCGCCACGGCCAAATAAACCATGTGAGTTTGCCATGTGTATTGAATGTTGTTGTTGTTGTTCAAAACCAATACCACGTATCGCGAAATAATGGCAAGAGACGTCTTTTTATTCGCATTGACAGACGTCGTTTTTATGGACAACCTACTACATGGCCAAAGTAGTCCGATTCGTACATGTACGACTATTGTTTTACTGAATCCGAATTGTACAGCGAGCGTAACCACAGTATGACTCATGACTCTTGTGAGCCGGTTCTTTTTACTGAATCGGATATCTGAATCTGAGTCACAAATAAATGACTCGTGATTATTTTAAGGGAATAAAAACATTCAGCGCGGCCACTGTACTGCGATTTACAAACAAATGACGCTTGGTTGGTTTGAGTGAATCAAATACGACGCGCCAGTGTCGTTTATTACAACCAAATTACTTTTGTAAATCGGTATGTATGAGTTGTTCATAAAGACGAGTTACCGGTTTGAAGTCTGAATCATTTCACTGAATCATTTAGACATTTAGAGCGGTTACTGAATCTGACTCACTTACTGAACTGCAAGTTATAATTTTTTTTAATTTAATTTAATTTAATTTAATTTTAGTGATAACTTTATAGGCCAGTATGTAGTGAATGAAATGGGGCCCCCGCTGCCAAAACAGAATTCATTAGGACACTCTGGGTTTGTGTAGCTACTTTGTTCATTCATTCAGTCATGATTAACTTATGAAAGCAACTGATGATTAATGTCTTCTGTTCATTTTAACCTTTCATATGTTTTATATAAACACAAAGTGTCTGCAAGTATTGTGTGTAGGCCTAAATTATATATACACAAACACCCACTCACAGAATAATACTGTAAGTGTCCACTGGATTCAATGATTAGCAATAAGATAATCATTTGAAGTGAAGCTGATTTGATCAAGACACAGTATGTTAGCTTGACCACACCGTGATTACCTACTATTCAACGCAATAGGCTACTGTTATTTTAAAAAGTTATGCTTTATTTTGTGATGCTGGAAATTTGTGGTGAAGCATAACATGATACAGCAATAATCCTTTTACAATATCAAAATATATGTCAAAGGGGTCGTCTGTTTCTACTTACCTCGTATTTTCAATCTACTAAAACAACTGGGATAGTTAAGGATACTTTAAGTGCGAGTTATTTTAATCGCTGTCCTTTTGGCTGCGCAGACAAATGTACGGATCCCTCTGAATCGCGAAATTGAATTTAACTGTCGCTGCTATATATTAATCAGGTCATTCAGACGTTGCTTAGCAACTTTCCTAAAGCGTCCAGTCACGTAAGCTAATTCATCAAGACTAGACCTCCCAAGCCCCGCCTCCTATGCTAATGCGAATCCTCGCGGAAGGGTCTCGCTGAATGAGAGCGCGTTTGCGTGTGTGCTGTACAATCACACACCAGAGTATCTGCCACATACTTAAGAGTTACTTTATTTGAAATGCAAAGCTACTGAAGACCAGAATCAAGACATTTTTGCAGGATTTTATTGTGTGAACATCACTGTGCTGAAATGGGTGGCCAGGTAACACGTACCTCTTTAGGTGAGTGACAGTAAAATTGCGTCTTTTCATAATAATTTCGAAGACCTAATATATGAATATAATTTACCTGAATTATTCTAGTAATTATTTTTGTCTGCATTTTCCTTAAATTATCTGAATGAAATTTGTTTTGTTTTTTTCTCATTATTGTAAAGACGTTGTAACTAGCCTACTTGAGTCCTATCATCAAACAAATGATTTTCTCTTCTGTTTCTCCAACATAAATGCATTTCAGATAGTTTGCTTTGTCTGTGGCAACTGTTTATACTGTTGATCAACACTGATCAACAGTTTCTTTCAGAGATCCATTGTTTTTATATAAAGCTAATTATAATTACTACAGAATAGCTTATCCTAAACGTAAAACAAAATGTTTAGATGTTTTATAAAGATTAAATTAATCATAATTTAAAAAACATTGTTTTCTTTATTTAGCATTACTTAGCATTAATTATTTAGCATTTTGAGTGATTTTTGAGTATGTCCTCAAAGGGGCAATTTTTGTCCCTATAATAGTAAATCCCCACACAAATACACATAGCTTTAGATATGCCAGTTATATAGGTTTTGCTGTCTCTTGCTGTGAACAAGGAAAGTTGGCATAATAGAGCATTTCAGGTTTATACCCACTCGGTAAATGAAGCTGACACTGAGTCAACCTGACACTTAGGCCTGCTATTGCCTAAAGCACTGAGAGAGAGAGTCGACACATATAATGGGACATGACATTAGTATCAAGAGAACATCTCTAACATCTCTTTAAATAAAGAGGAAAAACAAGAGATATTGAAATATGTGATTAGTGATTAGACTGTTTGTTGTTGTGAAGACCAGCAACTGCCCCCACAAAATAATGTCTTAACAAAAAGATCAAATGCAAAAAGTGTTCTTTGAGGATTAGGTTTAGGGTTATAGGATAGAAAATATAATCGATCAGTCAAACAGAATGTAGTGAAAATCAACACTATGAAAACATAAACTGTGTCTTGACATAGAGGTCAGGGGTTTGTGGCTGGAATTTTATTTCTATTTATGCCCCACTTGGCTGTATGTGTGTTTATATACAGTGTCTCATGATTCCCATATAAACACATACACAAATACACTCACCTGCAACTGCATGTCCTCAATTGCCCACACAGAGATTGTGCAGATAAAGTGGGTGAAGTATGCAGAATCAGTCTCTCACTTGTGCAACTAAAATCTAAAGATTCAATTGTTGACTCACACCCAGTGAAATGTCAACAGCGGTTAATTAAAGAGAGAAATGTCTCTGAAATAAGACCGCGTCCTTGACTTAATGCTCCGGAGTGGTCTGGGAAAATATGAAAGGGAGCTGAGGAGTGAGTGTTTGATCACAAGCCAGTTTCGCCTGTGAGAATCAGTGCACATTGGATTTGCTACTCTATTGGCTAGTACTATCTGGCTAGTTATAATTTCAATTATTTATTGTCTCATTCATCATCATGGAATTGTGTACTATATATACAAAATAGTTCCAGAAATTTACCATATTGCAGTTTTATATAACTACATTATTTCAGTAGTTTAAAATAGTCATTTATTTGCTAATTTCTTTATTTATCTGTTTGCTTTTTTGTTTTTGTTCTGGTCAGTCCAATAATTCTGGTTTATACCTAGCTCCACCACAAAAAAATGCTTTAGCAATGAAAAAAATATTTTAGCATATTAATTTAACATACTTTTGTTATATATAAAGGAAATCTATTCTTATATTTCAGTAAATGTTTTTTTTCTCCAAAATATATGTAAAAATGTATCTTGCAGCAATAA